CAGCTACAGATTTACTGCTAGCCATTATAGCCTTATAGCCGTAGATTGACTTGATGAAACATAGCGTTTTTGGGATGTGCCATTTCCATCTATGGGCTGCTCTGCCACGAGACCACGAGAACCCCTTAGAACGCTATTTTTAAATCCATGTTATGGTAAGTGTGCATGTAAAGTCTTTGTACACTTTCTAAAATCCACATAGCTGGTAAGTGTGCACGTTATACTTTGCCCACTTTTTCTAAAATCCTGTACGGTAAGAGCTACGCGCAACAGCTCCGTGCTCTTTCTGAGTGGTTTAAAACCCCGGTTCCGCCTTGGGCACCACTCCTCCTGTGTATCCTCTGGATACCTACTTTAACAGGGTGTTGCTACTAGTGGTCTGTTGAGACAGTTCCTTCAGCATATACAAAGAGAAACGTGCGGTAGCCCCTGTGTGACAGGCCAAGACTAGTATGATTCTAGGCTCTTGGTCGTATTCCCTTAAAGGAATCTATTCCTGATTCCTTGAGCCCTCCCCCTGGGCCAGGAGTCTGGCCCTAACAGGTAAGTATTTTGGGGTATGTAGCCTAGGCCTTTGGCCGTAGGGAATAACGTCACTGACATGGTGGCGTGGGCATACCATTCCCCATAGCGACCCCTAGAGGACGCAGTTCGAAGTTCCCAAGAAAGGGAATGTCTCAGGTTACTTATGTAACCATGGTTCCCTTAGTAGGGAACGAGACACTGCATCCTCTAGGTTTCTTGCCATGCTGCGGACGCAAGCTTCAGATGAAGAAGAGAATGATGTGTGCTACCGGCGCCTGTTTATACTATAGTCGCAACGGTAGTGACGTCATGGCTGTCGCCGGCCAACGAGTTGGTGTTTTTTCAATGTATGCTTCAGACACGGGTCACGACGAGGTGTTCCCCATAGCGACCTCTAGAGGATGCAGTGTCTCGTTCCCTACTCAGGGAACCATGGTTACATAAGTAACCTGAGACGGTTTCTAAGCATTTCAGGGGACCTTTAAGTACCTGTTCTCATGACTTTTTAATTCATGGCCACTTTGCACTAATTTGTTCCCTCCTTTTGATTTAACTATACAATAAAATAACTTTGTTTATTAGGCACATTTCCAAACAAACAGAAGTTGGCCTAAAGTGCTTTACAGATCAAGCAAAAAAACAAATATATAAAATGAAATATACAACATAATACAATAAATTAGAACATTTAAATACAGCATCATGTATTAATCCACTTCAACCCATTCAAGAATGAATTTAAAAGCTACATAATAAATGTGTTTTTAAAAACTATTTAAAAATGGCTAATGTTGAAGGAAAGGAAAACTATTCCATAATTTAGGACCCATCACACAGAAAAATGTTTACCCTTTGACCCACGACTACTAAAACGAGGGAACAACCGGTTAAATTTTCATTTACATTTTAATATACTAATTCTTTTTAGTTTTAAATGTAATAATATTGCATGCATTATATTTGACTGAAATGCTTGCATTGAAATATTTCACCTATTTCATATTCTAGTAATACTAGAACTAGGTGCTGCTGCTAGATGATTAGATGTGAGGAAGGGGCATTGATAGGACTGTTACCGGTTGCACTGGTTGAGCACACTGTTTTTAAAATTACTACTAGCCTATACAGTGACTTAAGTTGTGTGTAATGCATAACAGTGACTGTAAAATATAAATTCATTGGGAGTGGCAAATTTAGAGTTATAATGTTTGGGCTAGGGTCATTGGGTTAGTGTTGATTGTCCATTAGACTGTTTTTTAATAATATCTTGCAACACTGATAGATTGTTAATGGTAATGTAACGCGTGCAGGTGATCCAAAATATGTTAATTAGGGTTTTGTAATCTAAAAAAAGGTTCATACGAACGACTGATGTCTTACCTGACATGAATCTTTTCCTCCCTCATTTAACAATCCAGCACAAATCATATTACTTGTGATGCTCCCTCCATAAGCATCATCACAGTCACTGCTGCTCACAACTGGTATCATCACCTCCTGCAGTTTGTCAGGAGAAGAACCTGTGACACAGATCAGAGGATGATTTTGGATGCTTTTAATGGCCAGTTACAGTAAATTGTTGAGCTTTACAGTTCTGTTGTTTTGCAAGCCAATCTGCACCTTCAGACTGTAGTGCTCCCCAGCCAGTGACCCAGGTCTCTGTACCTGCAGCTAATTTACTACCAGCAGCCGCCAGACAGACTGGCCTAATGTAATTAGTGAAAGTCACAGATGAAGAGAGCTTGAGCAGTGCTATGTCGTTGTCATGGGTAAGATCGTAATAGTCAGGATGGTTGATGACACTCGCTGTCCTGAAAACTTCATTAGGGTTTGATCCCGACTGGCTCTGACGTCCCAGGTAGATCCGAATGGTACCCAGGGAGCTGTGCATAGGAAAAGTCTGTGTTAATTCAACTAGCATCATAATAGTGTCTTGAGTTGTATTTAAACTTCATACCTCTGGAAGCAGTGCGCTGCAGACAAAACCCAGTCTTTGTTGATTAGACTCCCACCACAGAAATGGCCCCCAAATGCGGTGCTTTGAATGCTGACTTGCCAAGGCCAAGACCCTGCCGTTGCATCCTCCCCCCCAACAATCTTGGTGTTGAGGGGGGCTTGACCACACACTGATGAGAGGAAAGACAATGTGACAATTAAAATGATATAATACACACAAGATATGTGGAATGATAGTTTTATGGTCGTTAAATCCATGACAACTTACCATCTAACTGGCAGAGAAAACCTGGAAGACAGAGACCAAACAATTAGATGAACATACATGGAATTGATTAACTGGTTTGTGTGGCCTGCAACCTCACTCTTTCACCATTTGCATAAGTGTTGGCACATACCATTGCCGTGAATCAAGATAATAGTTTGACGTGGATTGTAGTGTTTAAGGATTATAGCCTGGTTGTGAAATTATTTCATTGTCTTGCCAAGAAAATAGAAGCTGATCCGGTCAGTAATGTGAGCTAAATTAGGAGGCCTGTTTCACATTGTGTGAAGTAGCAGTGTAACAACAAAAGCAGGTTTATGTGCTTCGAAACTGATAGAATCTCACAGTTTTGGGTTACAGAAAACAGTTTTGGGTTACTGCATTAAGTGTTTGTTTTAATAATGTCAATAAATTATCAAATGGTTATGAGTAATTGGTCTGTGAGGGCTATGCTTTATTCAATCTAATTTGCATATATAATTTTCACATCAATTTATGGAATCAAATTGATATCTAATAGGTACTTCATCAACAAAAAGAATCAGATTTTAACTTTTAAAAAAAGTGGGTAAGTAGTTTGCTTAATGGGGTCATATGATGTTGCTAAAAAGAACATTGTTTTGTGTATTTGGTGTAATGAAATGTGTTTATGCGGTTTAAGGTTCAAAAAACATATTATTTTCCACATACTGTACATTATTGTTTCTCCTCTATGCCCCGCCTTTCTGAAACGTGTCGATTTTTACAAAGCTGTTCGGTCTGAAAAGTGAGGTGTGCTCTGATTGGCCAGCTATCCAGTGCGTTGTGATTGGCCGAATACCTTAAGTGTGTGATGCCCCTTACCATATTGTGATGCCTTGTCCCGGCCGGAATGACGAGACAAAAACATTAAAACCCATTATAAATTAGGCATTTGTTGCATCTAGTGGGGACATAATTACGGATTATTCTCCCTGCTCTTCTCCCTCTACACCAACGACTGCACCTCTAAAGACCCCTCTGTCAAGCTCCTGAAGTATGCAGATGACACTACAGTCATCGGCCTCATATTGAGTCTGTCCTGTGCACTTCAATAACTGTCTGGTTTGGTTCAGCTACAAAATCAGACATCAGAAGACTACAGAGAATGGTTCGGACTGCTGAAAGGATTATTGGTGCTCCCCTGCACACCCTTCAAGAACTGTATACATCCAGAGTGAGGAAAAGGGCACAGAAAATCACTCTGGAGCAATTTTTCCTGCTATGTATATGCTTGTTATACACATACACATATGTTATACACTTGTTATATGGTGTTTTTCCCTCAGCATTTAGACAGGCTTGTACAACCCCACAACTTAAGAAACCCACCCTTAACCCACCTCTTTTAGAGAACTACAGACCAGTTTCCCTTCTTCCTTTCATTGCAAAAACAACGAGTATCCGTGTTCAACCAAGTCTCTGCCTTTCTCACACAGAACAACCTCCTCGACAGCAACGAGTCTGGTTTCAGAAGTGGACATTCGACCGAGACTGCCTTGCTCTCAGTTGTTGAAGCCCTAAGACTGTCAAGAGCAGATTCCAAATCTTCAATACTTATCTTGCTGGATCTGTCCGCTGCTTTTGACATGGTTAACCACCAGATCCTCGTGTCAACCCTATTGGCAAAGGGCATCTCAAGAACCTCACTCCAGTGGTTTGAGTATTACCTCTCAGATAGGCCCTTCAAGGTGTCTTGGAGAGGTGAGGTGTCCAAGTCGCAACATCCAACTACTGGGGTGCCTCAGGGCTCAGTTCTTGGACCACTTCTCTTCTCTGTATACATGGCATCACTTAGCTCTCTCATTCAGAAACATGGCTTTTCATATCACTGCTATGCTGATGACTCTCAACTCTACCTCTCATTCCATGCTGATGATCCGACGATAGCTGCTCGCATCTCAGCTTGTCTAACAGACATTTCTTGCTGGACCATCACCTTCAACTCAACCTTGAAAAGACAGAACTGCTTGTGGTTCCAGCAAACCCATTGTTTCATCACAATTTCACCATCCAGTTAGGCACATCAACCATAACTCCTTCAAAAACAGCCAGAAACCTTGGAGTTATGATTGATGATCAGCTGACTTTCTCAGACCACATTGCTAAAACTGCCCAGTCCTGCAGATTTGCTTTATTCAACATCAAGAAGATCAGGCCCTTTCTTTCGGAACATGCTTCACAACTCCTTGTTCAAACTCTTGTTCTGTCCAAGCTGGACTATTGCAATGCTCTCTTGGCAGGTCTTCCAGCCAGTTCTATCAAACCTTTACAATTAATCCAGAATGCGGCAGCAAGATTCATTTTTAATGAGCCAAAAAGAATGCATGTCACACCTCTGTTTATCAATTTGCACTGGCTACCAATAGCTGCTCGCATAAAATTCAAGGCATTAATGTTTGCCTACAAAACCACCACTGGCTCTGCACCCCTTTACCTAAATTCATTACTTCAGACTTATGTGCCCTCTAGAAGCTTGCGTTCTGCAAGTGAATGGTGCTTTATTGTGCCATCCCAAAGAAGCACAAAATCACTTTCACAGACTTTTAAATTAAATGTTCCCTCCTGGTGGAATGACATGCCCAACTCAGTCCTAAGCCATCTTCAAGAATCAGCTAAAAACACATCTCTTCCATCTTTATGTGACCGTCTAACTCTAGCACTCTCTATTCTAATTATATTCTTTAAAAAAAAACTTGTCCCTTTTAGACTTGCACTCTATTCATTTACTGCTTGTTTTCTTTAAAAAAAAAACTAACACTATCTTTTCTAATCTTTTTGTATTCTATCTGTTTTTTTATTTATTTATTATGCAATTAACAAAAGCAAAAAAGGCCTCTAACACTAGCTTGCTCTATTCTTTTTCTATTCTATCTGTTTTCTTTTTATTTATTATATAATTTTTTAAAAACTTGCTACGTGTACTGCGTTAAGATGACTGAGACTTGTTATAGCACTTGCATATAATTGCTCTTTTGTTGATTTTGATTGCTTCCATTGTCCTCATTTGTAAGTCGCTTTGGATAAAAGACTAAATGTAGCCTAAAGTTGCAGCTCATTTTCATGTACGGGAACACACCCCTGAAACAGCACTTTTTAGCCCCGCCCCAAAAATGACACTTTCCAACAAGTTATAATAAACGATCTGTATGGTATTTTGAGCTGAAACTTCACTGGCACATTCAAGCCATAAGATTAATATTACATCTTGTAAAAAGGGGCATAAAGGTGCCCTATGATCATATTTCATAGATTTGACATATACCCATTTAACACAATAAAAAATAAAGGTTCTTTATTGATATCTTTGGTTCCATGAAGAACATTTAATAAACCCAAAAGGTTTTTATGGTGGAAAATGTTATTTAGATTATCAAAATGTCCTTCACATAAAAAATAAAATAAAATGAATAAATTAAAACATTTTTAATACTGTTCACTGAAAGGGTATAGAGAACCAAAAATTGGTCCTTCTGAGGCATCAGTGTGAATCCCTCTTTTGGGATGATTATTTATGAAATATTTAAACTGAATATTTATTATTCAAATATTACTGAAATATTAAATAATTACTATTATGATACTTGCAATATTAAAACAGCAGTATAATAGACAGTTGAATGTTTGTACACTACTAACCATTCTTTATTATTATCAAAAATTTTCGTATTTTAGAACTATTTAGTTAAAAGTCGGCATCCCATTTTATATTTAAGCATTTAAAATCAAAAGATGTTTACAATCATGAGAAACACGTAGTTTATGTGTTTGCACCAATTGCCATTTCAGGTATCAGTGTGCTTAAGTTACAAAGTTCATTAGCAACAGGAATTCAATTGACTTGTCATAATTAATCCGTTTAAACATTATTAAATCAATAAATCATTTGACCAATACCAATACCAAGACTTACCTGCTATATTGAGAAGTATGGTTCCAGCAACACCCAAAACTGTGTTTAACTTCATGCTTCTGCTCTTCTCTGCTCTGTGATCTGACTGTTTCCTCTACTCTCAGTCTCTAATGAGATGTAAAGCATGTGTGGCTGTGTTTATCAAGCATTCTCTGCCCAACCACCATGAGTGTCTGACTCATCTTTTGTTTCAAGCGCCTTTTATTGTGTATTACACGCCCCAGTTACCTTTACAGGTAAAGTTAAGGATTACTTATTGAACACTTTCCAGTTCAACACTCTTAAAAACACTGCTTAAAATGTTGTTTGTGACACAGCGATGCCATAGAAGAACCATTTTTGGTTCCACAAAGAATCATTCAGTCAAAGGATTTTTATGAAACCATTTAGATAAAAAGGTTCTTCTAAGGCATCATGAAGGTCACTTCACTACACATTACCACACTACATTTCAATTGTCTCTACATGGATTTTTATGACGTCGCTTATAATTTTTAATACAAAGCAGCATTCTGAATGAGCATGACAGAGCAAACCTACATTATAAATGCATAAGAGGTGTTCTGTTTTCTTTTTTTGCTATAGGCCTAATAAACTTTCCTGTCTGCCTCTTACCTGAAAATAAACAATAAAACATCCAGTGAGTCTAAGAATCTTAGTCTTCTTTGCTTTGATTATCTTATTCATCATTTTAAAATTAATTTGTGCTAGTTAAACAGAAAGATACATATGTACACTTCTGTGAAAATATTTAGGAAATAAGTCTTATGCTCAAATATTATTACAATTTAAAATAATGGTTTTCTATTCGAATATATTTTAAATAGTACTTTATTCCTGTGACGACAAAGCTGAATTTTCAGCATCATTACTCCAGTCTTCAGTGTCACATGATCCTTCAGAAATCATTCTAATATGCTGATTTGGTGTTCAAGAATCATTTATTATTATTATTATTATTATTATGAGAAATGTTAAAAACAGCTTAATATTGTTGGTGAAAACTGATACATTTATTTCATGAATCTTTGATGAATAAAAAAAAGTTGAAAATGACAGAATTTGTTTCACATAGAAATCTTGTGTAAAATTCTAAATGTCTGTCACTTTTGATCATTTTTTATTTTTATTTTAACAGTAATGCATATTATTTATGCATAAAGAACATATTATGTTGTATTTCAAAGTGAAATGTTAAAATGTTTAATAGAGAGAGAGAGAGAGATAGAATGTATGGACTACAAAAATCTGTCTAAAAATGTTGTCAAGTGTCATTTGCATTGACGATGACTTGCTTTAGCCAGTCATCTAGTTTTACCGGTTTTGTTACTATGAACAAACCTGAATATTTCTCTCAGGTGAAAACATTTCCTCATGGCCTGGGTGATGATCGCATGTACTGTACAATTAACTGTACATTCACATGTGATTTTAAGTATGTCATTATTTCTTAGTATGATCATTTTGATTATTGCTTAGAAATGATCAGTTTCACATTTACCAATTATAAATCTGCTCTTCATAAAGAATTTAATAAACAATTAAAAGGCAATGGACATGGTTAACAGGAGTTCTTACAATCTGTTGATCATCTCTGAATTATCAGCAGCAATGTACATGTACGTGAATTATCGCGAGTACACACTACAAAAAATTGTCAACTGACATCCATGTAAACAAATCTTGCTTATTTCATGTCAGAGATACCATTCTCTTGTGTATGGTTTTATAAATTAATATTTGTTTATTCTGCAAATACATCAATACATCATAATAATGGGAACTGCTTTTGTTGTATAAAGTATTCTGGTTTATCCTTTTGTTTATTTAGCAGGTTCCAATTGTATAGTATAAAAAAATTCCAATTTCATTATTTTCGCAAACAGTCATAACAACATGCATAAACATCATTCAGTTGCATTGTTATAACAGATGACAAATCATAAAAATATGAAAATATACACAGGACTTTTTCTAACAAGTCAGTTCTCTTTCAGGATAAACTATGGCTCATTCACAGGGCAGTACAGTTTCAATTACTTTATTTGTTTTGTTTATGTTTGGTAATGAAAATTTGTTCATTGATTACGTGGGCCTCAGTGTAGTACATTTTTATGTACCCACCATATTAAATAATTAAAAAACAGTATGTTTTGGATATTGAACAGATTTTGTTTTTAGGCTTTTAGTAACTGGCAATCAATTTAAGCAGCAAAATGTTTAAAAATTGACTTCATGTTGACACCCTCATTAAAGAGTTCAAAAGTACATTAGTGTAACACATTTCTGTAAAACATTAGCTTTCACAGAGAGACTGGACCCTGACAAAATACCTTTGCACTTAAAAGTGCTTATTATGTGTAGTCATTACCCATCACTTTTTGTTATCAGTTTCGGTTGGATATTTCACCTTTGTGTCCTTTGGTCAGTATATCGATTTAACTGCACTAACACCATCGAATGAGAACAGAATTTAAACTGAACACTGTTGTTAAACTGAAATTAATCAACGTTAAATTGACTTGAGCTGAATAATAACATTATTGCCTTCTGTAGAGCTGCTTTACATCTGAATTGAATTAGTTTCGTCATTTTTGAACATTGAAAATGACAGTTATTGAACTGAATTGAAAAAAAAATGCAACTATAAATGAGCTGAATAATGATAGTGCTGCTCTACAGCTGAAATTGAAGTAATTAACTGATTAATTTTAAGCATTTACACTGTTATTGTCCTGTTTATTGATGTGAAGTTTCTTTGAAACAATCTGCATTGTATTAGGCATAAATAAATGCTCATTGATTTGACTTAATTTTGCTCTTGCAGTTACTCTAAAGCAGTGGTTTTCAAACCAGTCCTGCAAGCACCCCTAGCACCTCACATTTTGTATGTCTCCCATATCTGACACACCCATTTCAGGTCTTGCAGTCTCTACTAATGAGCTGAATCAGGTGTGATAGATGAGGGAGGCACAGAAAATGTGCAGTGCTGGGGGTGCTCGCAGGACCGGTTTGAAAACCACTGCTCTACAGGATGTTGTTCCTGTGCCTCCAGGACCAGGGTTGGGAACCACTGCTCTAAAGGATTCTGGCACAAGAGTGCATTAAAAACAGAAAAAGAAAAAAAGAAAAGAAATAAAATGCCAATGAACGCATTATGTATTTTATGCTGTAACACTGTCTTTTTCTTAATTGATAAACACTATAAAATAAGAATATAAAAAAATGTTTGCTTTGGATATTTCAATTGGTATAAAGCAAAGGTAACTGCCAAACCCTCCTATTTTACACTTTTCTGTATTAAAAAAAAAAGACCTTAAAAATGGTGTGGCTCAGTGAACAAGCTATAGCAAAAATACAAACGTATTGTCCGCACACTGATGTAACTGCTCCAAAAAAATTATTTATTGAGGCAACGTTTCGACCATCAGGTCTTCGTCAGGGCCAATACGTTTGTATTTTTGCTATAGTTTGACTTTTTTTTGTCTTGCACTTGAGCCCTGTGTGGGTTTGTGGGATGTGCGCAACTTTCTTACACTTTGGTCAGTGAACAAGCTGACATGTAACATGAAGTGTATAAATACATCTCTTCTGTTTAAAAGAGCAGTCTGTTTATTATAGCAGTGTTATAATCTAAACTTTTAAGTTGTGTAATGTATCTAGCAGTTGTTATTATGTACAACATATCATTGTATGTTAGTTACAACAAGTAAAAAAAAAAACTTTGCCCTTATCAAGATGGCAGATTCCCAACGCCACTCTTCACCGGAAACACACGGCAAATAATTTTGACCTTCCTTCCGGTTGGCTCCCGCCCCACGTAGCCATTTTGCGTTTCCTGGACAAAAAAGGGGGTTAGACATAAAGACAATCAGTCCCATAATAAAATTAGTCTTCAAATCATACCGAGAATCAAAAGTGCGGATGTAACTGTGCAATATGATAGGCGCGGGAGCGGGCGAGCAGGTACACCAGCCGCGGCCCGAATTCAAAGAGGAAACATTCGGCTAGCTGGCTAACGAACGGTTAGCGAAAGAGTGAGATAAAGACTTCATAGACGCTAAAGTGTTGTACGACGTTCATAATTATCATACTATACTCTTAAGCACGCTAGAACGCGGACGTTGGTAGAAATATGGACCGTGTGTTGATTTGAAACGTCGCAGCGGACAAAAAAAACAGCAAACGCCACGGTTATTTGCGGAGGAACTGACTATTCACCGGGAATAAAGCGCAGGATCGCAGCACACCACGGTAAGACAGTCCGTTTTATTTGAACACTTGAATTTATAACATAATGGTGATTGTGAGACATTTATAGCGGCATAGATTTCAGGCTTTCGGTGTTGACAGACGCTCATCTCGAGCCTGTCATGAACTAGCCGGACAGCTTCCATCATTACACTATAACCATGGGTTTGTACCTAAATCATAACACAACCATTCCCTTTTAAGTTAATGGATATGTCTCAAAACCTAGTGAGCATCGGACACAATATTTTGTCTCTAATAACCTAAAATGCCGTTTTGAGAGACAGCCGGTGTGTTTCTCTATTGTTTAGTTTCCCTTTTCCAGCAGAACACCGGAAGCTGATTCTGCCCCCATCCCTAATTAGCATTTATACAATAGTATGCAAATCTTCACACTTTTTTAAAAAGCACTTGACAATTCATTCAGCCCCGAGGCCAACAAAAGTGCTGCACTGCACACAAACTCCAAAGGTTTTAAGTGATGTGAAAGGTGTGCTTCAACTGCACAAACACATTATGGATTTAAGTGCACTCAGTGGGTGGAAGGAAGAACATTACTGGGTACCATTTAAGTACAATAATAGCACATAAGGCTAAGTGTAATCAATACTTGATATTTATTGTGTAACGTTAGAAGACTGTCAAAGACCTCATCGATACTTTGTAAAGATGCACTTCTCAGTCTTGATTGCTGCAGGTTTTGGATGACACACCCAGGTCTTGGAGCCTATATGTGTGAACTGAAGATATAAATCAGGTGGGGTTAACAGATGTTTCATCCAAAAATGATAATGCTTTCAAAAATTACTCACCCTAATCCAAGCCTATATGAAGGTTT